GCCCGCTGCCTCCACTCAGCGAAAATGGATCCGCCCACCAGTGCCCAGTTGCTGTTCCCGTACCGGTGTGAGTGTCGCCAGATCGCAGCGAGATCGACCCACCAGTGCCGCTGCTGCCCGTGCCAACCTTCAAGAGCACAGACCCGCCGTTGCCACCCGTGCTGCCACCAGTGCTCACCGTCACGCCGCCCACCGTGCCTGCCGTCGCAGAGCCCGTCGTCAGACTGATCAAACCCGACGGACCGCTAGAGCCACCATCCGAAGTGCGCACCAGCACGCTGCCACTCGTGAGGCTGCTGCTCGCGCCGCTAGTCACCTCCACGTCGCCTCCAGCACCACTGTTAGCAGTACCGGAAGTCCCGCCACTCGTACTACCAGCACTCAACAAAATCTTGCCGCCTGCTCCGATGCTGCCACCGCCGACAGATAGCTCAATGTTGCCTCCTCTGCCGCCAGTCGCTGCGCCTGTAGACAAACGAGCCGATCCGCTTGAAGACAACCAAGACTCGCCACTCGCCAGAGACAGAGACCCGCTCGTACCAGACGAAGCACTCCACAAGGACACGTCGCCACTCGTCTTGCTCGTACTGGTCGTGCCAGATGCAGCGCCGCTACCCACACTGATAGACCCACCGGTCAGCGCACCTTGGCCACCTACCAGCTCGATCAAGCCACCAGTAGACCCTGCCGTCGTCGAAGAACTCAGTCCGGCCGTGATCGACACCTGGCCGCCACTGCCCGCAGAGCCGTCTCCCACGTTCACCAACACGGAGCCGCCATTACCGCCCGTGCTCGCGCCACTATTCAGTAGTAGGCTCCCGGAAGACCCGGCAGTCGCGCTACCACTACTGAAGCTCAACATGCCAGATTGACCAGACGTGCCGCCCGTAGCCGTACTCAGCGAAATTGAGCCGCTCGTGCTTCCCACGCTGCGGCCACTCAACACACTCACCGGAGCCTCTCGTCCCACTCGTCGTGGGACGTCGGGAGCCGTCGTGTCGCTCGCCGTCATCCAGAGAGGCGCCACTCGGACAACGTGTCGCCACCGCCCACAGACAAAGAGATCGACCCGCCGTGACCGCCTGTTGATAACCCTGTGCTCACAGACACCAATCCACTGTCGCCCACACGACTCGCACCGCTCGTCAGACGCAGACTGCCACTCACACCGCTTGTCACCGCAGCGTCCGGAGTCGTCAGCGAGATGTCACCGCTAGATGACTTCAGACCCGCGCCGCTCTGCAGCGAGATCGACCCGCCACTCGTCATGCCGCTGCCTCCGCTCAGCGAAATGGATCCGCCCACAGCGCCAGTTGCTGTTCCCGTACCGGTGTGGGTGTCGCCAGATCGCAGCGAGATCGACCCACCAGCGCCGCTGCTGCCCGTGCCAACCTTCACGAGCACAGACCCGCCGTTGCCACCCGTGCTGCCACCAGTGCTCACCGTCACGCCGCCCACCGTGCCTGCCGTCGCAGAACCCGTCGTCAGACTGATCAAACCCGACGGACCGCTAGAGCCACCATCCGAAGTGCGCACCAGCACGCTGCCACTCGTGAGGCTGCTGCTCGCGCCGCTAGTCACCTCCACGTCGCCTCCAGCACCACTGTTAGCAGTACCGGAAGTCCCGCCACTCGTACTACCAGCACTCAACAAAATCTTGCCGCCTGCTCCGATGCTGCCACCGCCAACAGATAGCTCGATGTTGCCTCCTCTGCCGCCAGTTGCCGGTCCCGTGAGAACATGAACAGCTCCGCTCGATGACGCTGCTGAAGCGCCGCTTGATAACCAAG